TACACAATCTAATATTTTTTATTATATTATTTCTTGTACAATTCTGATTATATTATAGAAAAATTTTCTAGTTTTCTTGTTTATTTTTTATATTTTCTTTATTTTACAATGACTTAAATGCGAAGATTTATCAATTAAACAAAAAAACTTCTATTGAGATTACTTTTAACGAAATTAATGCAAAAATAAGAATCACAAATGAGGTATACTGTTACACGAATACAATTTCTAATACTGCTGTGCGAATACAGTATCATTGATCGTGCCTAGTTGTCTGATATTCACTTTCTTGAATTATGTAAAAATAGATAATTTCAACAAAATATATTATAAAGATTTTTAATACAAATAATAATTTATATTTATTTTTATATTGTCGTCTTTATTCTTAAACAAAATTATTAATGAATCATTTTGAATATTCGAGAATAAATCGTTTAATAAAATATTACAAAATATTAAAATATTATACAATTATAAAAATATTAATAATATTTTCTTTTTTTAAATAAAATTGATTAATTTTTTCATATTATTGTATAAAATAAAATAAGACTATAATTCATAATATAAAACATTTATAAAAATGTTATAATAAAAAACATGAGGTAACTATTCGTTTAGAAAATATGTTTAATATATAATATAAATTCAGAAACTAACACAAAAAAAAGCAATTAATATTAATTCCATAAAACAATTACTATAAAACAATTAAATAATATTCATATATAATTTCATCTTAATTAATTTTTTCAATGTATATATCAAATCTATTTTTGCACGATGCAGATGTATCTTAACATGTATTTAATGAAAAATATAATTCAGAATCCTAAAAATAATTATATATTAAATGTTATAAAAAATATTGTAAATATAAAAAAATAATCTATATACATGACAACAATTATTATTACACTTAAGTTTCATATACATATATATATATATATGTATATATATATACATATATATTTAAATGTTAGTCCCATTTTTCATATTTGTCACATAATCATCTTTTCTCAATTCTTAGCTTGGAGGTATCGCGATGTTTCTAGACATGTGTAGCCATGTCGTCATTTCCGGTCACTACGTAAATACATTCAAAAGATACTTACTGTTATTATATTTTGTATACAAATTATTATTAATACAATATATTGAGTAAATTTTAAATTCATTTTATGAATTTTGAAAACATTTCTTTTTAAATGTTATGCTAAGAATTATTAATAAATATTGATTATAACAACATTTTTGATAGAATGTTCTAGAAATCGGGCGTGCTTCCGGCAGGTGCCTTCTAGAATTTTCAAAGCTCGATAAAAGCGGCCCCTGCGCGCCACTATTCAATACTCTGAAAAGTGACGGCGCGAGAGTCTGATCTCTGACGCGAAGCTATATTTCCTCTGCGGTTGTACGTGCGATTATACGTGCGATACATTCTCAACGTTTGTGTGAAGAAATTTATTTTAAATAAACTTCTGTGTTTTATTATCTGATTGTACGTAATTAAATACATTGTGAAAAGATGCCGGAGGACGTCACCATGGCTAATGCCGGAGAGGTTGAAACTTTCGCTTTCCAAGCTGAAATTGCACAATTAATGAGTTTAATTATTAATACATTTTATTCCAATAAAGAAATTTTTATTCGAGAATTGATTTCAAATGCATCTGATGTAAGTATAATTTATTTTAACATTTTATCATATAATTAAGTTTAGTCGAAAATTTCAAAATAATATTTTTAGAATTTTTTTTTTAAATATAAATTATTTAATTATTTTAATTTCCTTTGTATAGGCATTAGACAAAATTCGCTATGAATCTCTTACGGATCCATCTAAATTGGATACATGCAAGGAATTATTTATTAAAAATTGTTCCTAATAAAAATGATCGTACTTTAACCATACTTGATTCGTAAGTATTATTTTATTTCCTAAATAATAATTAAATAATTATTTTTGATATATTAATATTTATTTTATTGTGTTATATTTATATTTAATTTTATTTATTTAAATTTAATTATTACATTACATTAAATATGTATAAAAAAAAAAAGAAAATAAAAATTTTTAATTTATTATTATTTTCAATAATAAATTATTTTATCAGTTAAATTAATACTAAAATTTTTATAATTTATCCAAATAAAATTTTACTAAAAATGAATAATAAAATTTTCTTTGTTACAGTGGTATTGGTATGACAAAAGCTGATCTTGTGAACAATTTGGGTACCATTGCTAAATCTGGTACAAAAGCATTTATGGAAGCTCTTCAAGCTGGTGCCGATATTTCTATGATTGGCCAGTTTGGTGTAGGTTTTTATTCTGCTTACCTTGTAGCAGATAAAGTTGTTGTAATTTCAAAACACAATGATGACGAACAATATGTATGGGAGTCTTCTGCTGGTGGTTCTTTCACTGTCCGCCCTGACAATGGAGAACCAATTGGAAGAGGTACCAAAATTATTTTACATATTAAGGAAGATCAAACTGAATATTTGGAAGAATCTAAAATCAAAGAAATTGTGAAGAAGCATTCTCAATTCATTGGTTATCCAATTAAACTTGTTGTTGAGAAGGAAAGAGATAAAGAATTAAGTGAAGATGAAGAAGAGGAAGAAGAACCTGCAAAAGAAGAAGGTGAAGATACAGGTAAACCTAAGATTGAAGAAGTTGGAGAAGATGAAGATGAAGACAAACCTAAAGATGAAAAGAAGAAAAAGAAGAAAACTATTAAAGAGAAATACACTGAAGATGAGGAATTAAATAAGACAAAACCAATCTGGACAAGAAATCCAGATGATATTTCTCAAGAAGAATATGGTGAATTTTACAAGAGTTTAACAAATGATTGGGAAGATCATTTGGCTGTCAAACATTTTTCAGTTGAAGGTCAATTGGAATTCCGTGCATTGCTTTTCATTCCGCGACGTGCACCTTTTGATCTTTTTGAAAATAAAAAGAGAAAGAATAACATCAAATTATATGTACGTAGAGTCTTCATTATGGATAATTGTGAAGATCTTATTCCAGAGTATCTTAACTTTATTAAGGGTGTAGTTGATAGTGAAGATCTTCCATTGAATATTTCTCGTGAAATGTTACAACAAAATAAAATTCTTAAAGTCATCAGAAAGAATCTTGTCAAGAAATGCTTAGAATTATTTGAAGAATTATCTGAAGATAAGGAAAGTTATAAGAAATGCTATGAACAATTTAGCAAGAATATAAAATTAGGTATTCATGAAGACAGTCAAAATAGGAAAAAACTGTCAGAATTACTTAGATATCATACATCTGCATCTGGAGATGAAATGTGTTCATTAAAGGATTATGTTGGAAGAATGAAAGAAAATCAGAAACACATTTACTATATCACTGGTGAAAGCAGAGAACAAGTAGCCAATAGTTCATTTGTAGAAAGGGTTAAGAAGCGTGGTTTCGAAGTAGTATACATGACAGAACCCATTGATGAATATGTTGTACAACAATTGAAGGAGTTTGATGGCAAACAGTTGGTCTCTGTAACGAAAGAAGGTTTGGAACTTCCAGAAGATGAAGAAGAAAAGAAAAAACGTGAAGAAGACAAAGCCAAATTTGAGAATCTCTGTAAAGTTATGAAAGATATTTTAGACAAAAAAGTAGAAAAAGTTGTAGTATCTAACAGGTTAGTCGATTCTCCATGCTGTATTGTTACATCACAATATGGATGGACTGCAAATATGGAAAGAATTATGAAAGCTCAAGCTCTCCGAGATGCATCTACTATGGGATACATGGCTGCCAAAAAGCATTTAGAAATTAATCCAGATCATCCAATTATGGAAAACTTGAGGCAAAAGGCTGAAGCTGACAAGCATGATAAGTCTGTGAAAGATTTGGTCATGCTTCTTTTTGAAACAGCTTTGTTGTCTTCTGGCTTTGCCCTTGAAGATCCACAAGTACATGCTTCCAGAATATATAGAATGATTAAACTTGGTCTTGGTTTTGATGATGATGACACACCAAATGTAGAGGATGAAAAAATGGATACAGAAGTTCCTCCACTAGAAGATGACACAGAAGAAGCATCTAGGATGGAAGAAGTAGATTAAGACTTCTACTGTTTAAAATTATTTAATTAAATCCAAAGACTTCTAGGATGTAGAAAGACTGTTACAAATTAATTACTTAAGTACTGAACTTTCGTTTTTGTCTTTCTATATGTGACAGAATGAAGTGCCATGCTTCTCTTAAGTATTGCATATTGCTAATTCTGTATTTATTTGATAAATATGAGATGAAGTATAGATGTTTTGTGCATTCCTTAAGTAGTGCTATATCTTTAAATCAAGCCTGTCACTTGATTCTGTCTCTAAATTCTTTTTTATGACATCATTTTCATGTGTCTGCATTGTCATTTTAGTTTTTTTTGCACTTGTACATCATTACGATTTCATTTCGCATTTTCATCATTCCATTTTGAAATCGTCATGTAGTCCGATAAAAGATTAAAATCGTTATAAACAGTTTTGTGCGTAATAAAACAACCTTACACATAAAAAATATCTAATTCATTTCTTATGATCCTTCCCTTTATTTTATTTTAATTATAAAAAAATTTTAGTTATTAATTATAAAATTATTTAATCTCTAAAGAATAAGTTACTTATAAAGAAAGAAAATATTAAAAATATTTTATTATTTTTAGAATTTATTTTATAGTAAAATTACAATTGTCCATTTTAATTATTGAATTAAAAAAATTTGAAGAATCAACTATTATAATATTATGTCTGTAAAAAATAAATTGCTTATAAAGAAATATATTTTGTTTTTAATAAAATTATTGTTATGATATTACATAAAATTTTAATAGTGAAAATTATAATGTATAATTTTAATATATTGACGTCATGATATGTCGACTATATTTATCGATTGTTTAGGTATATTAATGCATGGTGAACAGATAAATCAATTTTTTATTGTAATATAACAAATATAAAGAAGTTAATCTGAATAATATTAAATAAGGAAAATTTTATTTAAACATATTTTGAACAATAAAAAAATTATAATAAATATATATATAATACATGTAAAAATAAGTAATAAAATATATATATATTAATTATAAATTTTGTAATATTTATACTTTTTTCTACCGATTGAAACCATGGTATAGATTGACCGATAGAGCGCGACACTGCAGATTGCCGAAGTGTTGCGTGTTGCCACATCACCACCAAATCAAACGTACTTGAACGATGTTTCTGTGTAGATTGCGCTCGTGCCGACTCCTCCACAATACGTGGAAAGCGTGAGTTTCTCCACTCCGATTCAACATGTCAAATCTTTCTTGAATTTCTAACGAATATTCACGAAAAAAGCAAAAATCAGAGTATAGATAATCTTCTGTTTACCGAATTGCTTTTCTGGCATAGTATAGACTGAGAAATTATAGATTTTTTCGTGGTGCTTAGCGTGGTAAACGAACGACACGATGAGCGCACCTCAGGGGCAAATGAAACCGAGAAACGGAGTAGTAAAACAGGTATAATATTAAAATTTTACTGCAATTTGTTCGTTAAGAATTTTTTTATTTGAATATAAACATGATTTATATGATTACTGTCATGTATAACCTCATATTTTGACATGTGTGTGCTCGCGTTCAACGTAGTACAAATAATCGGTACGGACAACATATGGTCCTTATATCAAAGTAATTTCGTTTTATCTATTATTTTCTCTCAAAAGAAAATTATTAAATACCATTTAAATGCCGCAGATATTATTAAAATATTATATATTTAACAGAAAAATATTTTTCGTCTATTTAATATGTTTTTTGTTCTATATCTATGTATTTTAAAGTTTTCAATAAAGCTTAATTTTAATTTACTAGATTTTTCTCTGAAAAATATTATGTTATTATGTAGTATTATATTATGTTATACTATAATATTATTATATCATTATATACAGCATTATGTAGAAAATTAAAAATAAAATTAATTATATCTTGTTTTAATATAAAATTTTATGTTTAAAGGTTATTTCGGGAGATACTATTGTTATTCGTGGCCAACCTATGGGTGGTCCTCCTCCAGAAGTTACTATTACCCTTTGTAATATTACTGCCCCAAAATTAGAAAGATGGAAAGGAAATGATAGGTGCATTTAATTATTTGTTATAATTTGTTAAATTAGTTTGTTATATATATTATTTATTATAATTAACATATACATTTTTTTCTTCAGTACGGATGAAAGTAGGGATGAACCTTATTCTTGGGAAGCTAGAGAATTTTTACGCAAGAAACTCATCGGACAAGATGTAGCGTTTATAACAGAAAAATCTGTTAATACAAATAGAACTTATGGTACTGTGTGGTTAGGAAAAGGTATATATTTTATACAAATTTATATATTTATTATATAACAAAATTGATTGAAAATACTTTATTAAATTTTTTTATAATAATAGATAAAAATGGAGAAAATGTAATTGAAACATTAGTATCTGAGGGTTTAGTAACTGTAAAGAAAGATACTAGAAATCCCAGTCCTGAACAAACTCGTTTAATAGAACTAGAAAATGCAGCTAAAGCAGCTAAAAAAGGAAAATGGTCAGAATCTCCAAATTCTGAACATATACGTGATGTAAAATGGACTGTGGATGATCCCCGCAAATTAGTTGAAAAATTCGGAAAGAAACCTGTGAAAGCTATTATTGAATTTGTTTTTGATGGATCCACAGTAAAAGCACTTTTATTACCTGATTTTTACAACATAGTATTAATGATATCGGGTGTTCGATGTCCTGGATGGCCAAATGGAAGACGTGAAAATTCAGTAGGTGATCCTTATGCAGATGAAGCAAGATATTTTGTAGAATCTCGTCTTTTACACAGAGATGTTGAAATAGTACTTGAATCTGTTAATAATAATAATTTCATTGGTAGCATTCTTCATCCAAAAGGTTAATATTTTAGAATAAATTAAGGAAACTAAATTGTTTATAAGTTTATATAATTAGATATAATTATTAATTTAATGGATGTTAACAGGAAATATTGCTGAAATTTTATTGAGTGAAGGGTTTGCCAAATGTCAGGATTGGTCAATTAATAATAGTAGAGCTGGTGCAGAGAAACTTTATCTTGCAGAGAAAGCTGCAAAAGAAGCGCGTTTACGTTTATGGAAAGATTACAAACCATCTGGTCCACAAATTGAGTTTACTGGTACCATTGTTGAAATTATAAATGCAGATGCACTTATAATTAGAACTCAAAATGGAGAAAACAAGAAAGTGTTTTTGAGTAGTATTCGACCACCGTCCAGAGAAAAAAAAACCAATGAAGAATCTAATAATGCAACTAGAAAAGATTTTAAACCTCTTTACGATATTCCATGGATGTTAGAAGCTCGTGAATTTTTACGTGAAAAATTTATCAGAAAAAATGTAAAAGTTGTAGTTGATTATACTCAACCTGCTAGAGACAATTTTCCAGAAAAATTATGTTGTACCGTTACATGCGGTAAAACGTATGTTATAATATAATTTGTTCATTTTCTAATATATTTATTATTTATTCTATATAATACAATTTTTCTAGGAATATTGCTGAAGCTTTGGTTGCTCGAGGTTTAGCAAGAGTCATCAAATATAGGCAAAATGATGATCAACGTTCATCTCATTATAATTTGTTGCAAGTTGCTGAGAGCAAAGCAGAAAAATCTCAACATGGTTTACATGCGAAAAAGGATATTCCAGTTCATAGACTGGTTGACCTTTCTAATGATCCATCGAAAGCTAAAGCATTTTTAACATCTCTTAAACGAGCGCAGGGGATTAAAGCTGTAGTTGAATTTGTTACCAGTGGATCGCGTTTAAAATTGTTTTTACCAAAAGAGGATCAACTTATTACGTTTGTCTTAGCTGGTATAAGAACACCACGATGTCAAAGATCATTACCAGGTGGTGGTATTGTTAAAGCAGATGAGTATGGTGAGAAAGCATTAGCTTTCACTCGAGAGCATTGCTTCCAAAGAGACGTAGAAATAAAAATTGAAAGTACAGAAACTAAAGGAAGTGGATTTATTGGATGGTTAACAGTAAATGACATTAATATGTCTGTTGCTCTTGTTGAAGAAGGTCTTGCAGAAGTAGTTACTTTTCCTGATTTTGGAGAATTAACAAGAATACTTAAAGCTGCAGAAGAGCGTGCCAAAACAAAAAAATTAAATGTAAGTATATAAGTATCATATATATATATATATATTTATATCTTTTATGTATCTATTATATTTTCTAGATGTGGAAGAATTATGTAGAAGTGCAAGTTGAAAATGATAAAAATGAAAATGACAAAGATATTGTAGAAGAAAAATTGACTATCAAGAAGTAGTACTATCTGAAGTTACTGAAGATCTTCATTTTTATGCACAAAGTGTTGATCAACGTAGCATGTTGGAAAATTTGCTTCTACAATTACGTCAAGAATTAGCATCTAATCCCCCACTTCCGGGTGCTTATAAACCTACTAGAGGTGAATTAGCAGTTGCTAAATTTACTGGTGATGATCAGTGGTATCGTGTTAAAATAGAAAAAGTTTCTGGTTCAAATGTCAGTGTATTTTATATTGATTATGGTAATAGAGAAACAATTAATGTCACAAGAGTTGCCGATTTACCATCAAGATTTGCTAATGATAAACCCTATGCTCACGAACATATTCTCGCTTGTGTCGCACTTCCAAATGATGTAAGTAATAAATAATTAATAAATAATAATAATTCGTATAAAATTTTTTATTTGTAATTACAAATTATAAATATATTTTTATCTTATTTTTTTGAAATTATAATCGAATATAATTTTTTTCCATATATAGAACGATGACAAAAAAGCGGCAGTTGAAATTTTTAAGGAAGACGTAATGGATAAAATTTTATTGAAAAACACGGAATTTAAATTAAATAATAATGTTACCGCTGTAACATTAGTTGATTCTTCTTCTAATGAAGATATCGCGAAAGGACTTATTTCTGACGGGTTATTACTGGTTCAAAACCAACGTGATAGAAGACTTACTAAATTGGTAATTTTGTGCTATTATGTATTTTTTTATATTTACATATATTAATATTTTATTTTATTTTATATTATGATTGTTTTGTATATATAAAGTGATTTTAATATATAAATTCATTGTAGATTGAAGAATACAAAAAAGCAGAAGAAGATGCAAAACATAGTCGACGTAATATTTGGAGATATGGTGACATACGAGCAGACGATGAAAAAGAATTTGGATTGTAAGAATAAATGCTCAAGGACTGGTTAAAAAGTGATCAATACAGGGAAAAAGACATGTTAAAACTGCATAATAATTATGTAAGAACCCATTACATAGATTACAAAAAATAATAAATGTCCATATGAGAGTTATATGTTGCATTGATTATGATGCAGTTATATTTCATTACATAAAAATATGAATTGTACATAACAATTTCATTAATTCTTGTAATTTTTGAATGAAACAGTGGCATAA